AAAGTAACTCACCCACCTATGTTGAATATCTTTTTCTAAGAAAAGTACTTTTTGATTTTCATCTTTAATACACTTTACTTGAGTTAAATCTTTACTTTTCTTTTCTCTTTGTTTGGCTAGTTTATACATATATTTTTCACCCTCCTTAGTATCTAATCTATTATAAAGATCATTAAAAGCAGAATTTTTAGCATCACAGATTGTTCTTTTAGACTCTCTGCGAGCCGTTTGATATTTTCTCTAGTTCTCTAAGTTTTTACATTTAAACCAATTTTTATAACATAACTTCTTATATTTTATCTTTTCTTGCACATTATTATTCCACCACCAACTATTTTTATTTGTAAATATTTTTCCCTTTGATTCTCCAAGAACATCTTTTGCTACATGTTTAATAGCGTTTGTTACTTTATCCCACATCACATTTGCTTCTTCATGAATATCCCAAATTTTGAAATCTTGAATTTTACTCATAAAATTAATTTTATTTTTATCTTTTAAGTTTCTCCATCTAATTCTGCAATGATGAGTCCTGGTATTTTTTATTTTACAACTCTTAATCTTAAAATCTAAAACTAATAAACGATGTTGGGTATTTAAATTTTCACTTGGAATGACTTTACAATCTTTACAATCATGACGATCTCTTCTTCTCATAAGAAAATAATCAATTTGTGTTTTATTAGATCCACTCTTATAAGTAATAAGATGTTCATCCCTTTTCTTGAATAAAGTATTAGTAATAACAAAATCAAACGCTAAAGCAAAATCTAAAATAGTTTTATCTTCTTCATTAGTTACTCCAAAACCGTAGCCACCATGAATATTTCTGAAATCTTCTACCACTCTACCGACATGTCCATTTAAATCTCTTCCAATAAAAATTCTTTCTTCAAGAGGTATCATTTGTATTAAGTCTTCTAAGTCATTCCAAAATTTATCTTTAGACTCTGTATCTAAACCTACTTGAGGAGCATAAACACTTATAATATTAAAAATCTTAGTATCAATGATAATCTTAAGGGCTATAATTCTATCACCAACTCTATTAATTTTTACAACATTATCTTTCAAACTCTTATCTATAATTACACCTACACCATTTCTAGTGCGACTCTTACCAGAATACCAAAGTTTAAAACCTAAATTATCAATCTCCTTAGCCTTTTCTCCCACCCACTTAGTTTCTTGAATACATAAGATATTAATTTTCCTATGAATCATAATATCAACTAATTCCATTAATTTACCATTGAGAGTGCCTATATTCCAAGATCCTATCCTAATATTAGTTTCATTAGTTTCATGGACTAACTTCTTTACCCGCATTCGCCCGTAATGTGGGAACCCTTGCTTATTTAACACTACACCCGGGCGCCGGTGTAGCGGCCCTTGCACACTTATCACTGTATTCAGGCTATACAGCGCGTCGCTTCCAGGGGACGCCCTAGCACTTACACAATGATCAAAAGGATTCATGTCATGATTTTTTCGACAAGTTTTACGCTGGCTGTCGACTACCTAACGCAACCCTCCACTTTTCTCATCCGGGCTTGGGACCGGCAACGGCTTGCACACTTATCACTGTAGGGTTTTATCATATTAATTAATTAAATTAAATAAACATGTTTATTACTAAATATTAACAATATTTTAAATTAAATCAGGAATTAAAGGTTGATAAATTCTTAAGTCTGAAGTAAAAAGAGGTTAATGCTTTAATCATAAATTCTTACATAGTTATACTATTGTCGATTATTGAATATTAATTTAAAAAATTATGATTTTAAATTAGATGTGTTAATTAACAGCATGATTGAAAGATAGGGAGAGATTGTATGGACATTTTGTAAGTGGGGAGTAATATAGAGGGATTTTAAAAGGTGCAACTATCGCTAATTAAAAAAAATGGGAATTCAAGGAAAAGAGAAAGGCATTTAAGGGTTCAGGTGAGAAATTATTTTCTTATTTGTATTAAATTAATAATTTAATAAAAAATAACTTACATTAATGTCTTAAAAATAAATGTTTTTCATATTATATGCATATTGAGATTGAAATGATATTTAAAATGAAAATAAATGAAACGGAAAAGGGTAAATGGTTGCTCCATGATTTTAAATGGATATAATACAAGAAAATAAAATATAAATAATTAAATCAATTAAGATTTACTCACTTATGATACCAATTGGGAACGTTATTGTACCCGCACACGAAAAAAGAAAATAAAAATGATAAAAATGTGCTTTCGGGTGCAAAATTTTGAGAGTAATCATGATTACAATTTTTTAAGGCTACTTTCGGGTATGATAGTGTCTTAAAAAATGTTAAAAAGATAAGTACTTAAATTTAAACATGAAATGTTAATTTAAAATGAAAGCTTGCAGTTTGATTAATTGATGAATCACATTTTTTGGGGGCATTCATGCATAGTATTTATATATGAACTGAATGCATAATAAGATTATAATAGCCCACTAAGTGGTGGTAAATTTGTGATTTAAATTAATTGTTTCTTTCAGATAAAACTATAGATTGATATGACAGTGATAATGAAGTTGGTATATAGGAAGGCTACTGAAACTTAGTAGGTTGTTTGTTATAGTTTTAGTTTTTTATATTGTTTACTTTTGAGTAATGTTGAATTATCATTGGTCGGATTGCAATATTAATTTATTTTCGAAATATGGTGTTTCTTTGGTTGAATTTGATTATTATTTAGTGTACTTAGTGATTTTTTTAGTGACTCGTTTTAATATTGGAAGCTAAGATGATTTGTTGTATAAAATAAAAGAAAATTAATAACATATGATCACAATTTCTGACATGGTTAATTTTAAACTATCAGGTCTGGTCGTGACTTCATACTCTGAATCCCACACACCAGCCCTCAACCACCGTATAACATTTCCTCCACCAAGGGTGGATAGTTTGGGAAACCTAAAGTACAAGAAAGAGGGATAAAGTAATATTGTAGGCAGAGGCTTTATTACAAATCTCAATCCCATTATTTTCAGCTGTTAGGCATTAAAACACAAAATATGAGCATTTACATACATACCAGCCAATTCCTATGTACATACATATCTAGCACCAAAACTTTACCTTTCATATTTATACCACCCAAATCTTTCATATCACATCAAAAATACCACTATTTAACATTTAAAAAGTACAATATGCTGTTTCATGCATAGGTAAGGTGATATAGATGTAAAAATTGAAGTTTGAGTGTAAGATATGTAAATACCTAAGAATTGAGTGGTATGTATGTACATTTAAAAAAAAAAAAGACAGTTAGACCAATTGAACTCCAAAATCATATGTTTGTTTACAACAGATGCACCAGCAGCAAGATATCATAGGGAGAAAATCAAAAGGGAAACAAGCAGAGGATTACTAACCTACTACCGCTTCAGATGAGAACAACAAAAAATAATTAGGCCTATAGATCATGCCAGTTTTGACGAGGATGCTTTCTCCATCTCAATACATAGATGCAGCCCGCAGCACTCAATAACCCAACAGCAGCAAAGGCCATAATAGCAGCATTGTTGAGGCTCCGATAATAACCCCCCTATGAGGAGCACACACATTTTCACAAAAGTATGTAACAATAACAACGGTGATAAAAAGAATACTCATAGAAAATGACAGAGCAAGATACTGACAATAACTAGTACGAATAAATATGCTGCATTTGCTGGTACCAGAGATGCACTAACCATGCCTCCACGCAACTCATTGGGAATATACCTGATGAGACAGAAGGAAACAATCACAGCTAGGCTCTAAAAAGAATATATGAAGCACTTACATATGAAGTAAAGCTTACATTGTTCTCAACCTAGCTAGAGATGGTGAAATTAAACCAATGCAAGCATGAAAGATGCAGAACAAGACCACCAGAACTCCGATATCCTGTGACGGAAGAAATAATGATATTAGCAACAATTCCTGCGTTATGACAAAAAAATTGGGGAAATGACAATCAACACTTTGATCTTTCTCAGAGAACTGCCTGATAATCATATGCAATTATTGACAAAACCAGTCCGGCAACAGCAAATGCGGCTATTAAGTGAGTCTGATCTTCATTGTGCAAAGGCGAAGCAGCACCAGAAAACCATGGAAAGGTAGTGCTTCCAAGCATCCTTGAACCAAGAAAACAAGGATATATATGTGACAGCTGCACTTCCCTCCCATCTTCCTGAAATGAAAAATGAGCGATCAGAGCTGGTAGAAATGTCATGAAGATGTGCAGACGCATAAATTCATGCATTGTTGATATAAAGGGCGGCCAAAGATGCGGGAACAACCAAACTGTAAATCGCACTAGATCTAAAGAAGGGTGTTACATTAATTTCTCTAATGATCTAGTAGTACTATGCTCACGAATAATACTTGGGATATGCCTCTTCATTAATGTGAGAGTAATGTATCCATTTCAGTCCAGTCATGAGCTGCTTGGCTGCATACAAATAGTGCTTCCCCCATTTGGGTTGAAACTCAGGTGTGTTTTAATTGATCCGAAGAGCTTGCGCCACGGGATACGAACCCCCGTCTCGAAGGACTTATGCTAGAGGCCGCATGAATGAGCCGGGGCGTATAGCACATAATATATTATATATATATATATATATATATATATTTAATTAATAAATTTTCAGTGTTACGATTTTGAATGATTAATCTTCTTGTTGATTTAATATTCTTATGAATAGTCTTCAAATCTTATTTAGACCGTTTTGTGATCATATTTATCGATAAATCTTGATATATTCTAAAAGTAAAGAGAAGCATGCCTAACATGTTAGAGAAACATTGAATATTCTTCTGGAAGCATAAAATACTCTTTAAATGCAAAACGTTCTAAGTACTAGTTTTTGCTTCAAGAAATAGCTTTCGCTGGACACTTTATTAGTGGCTCTAGGTTTTCTATTGACCATGTCAAGATCATGGCAATTTAAAATTGGTCGAGACCGAGCACTTTTATCGAGTCAACAGCTTTTTTAGTTAAATTGGCTACTGTATTGTTAAACTTTAACTAGATCGGCCCAGAAGTTTGTTAAGTTTGTATGATCTGATTCATGTCAGCAATGTTTTATGAAGCTAAAGAATCACCTAGTGTTTATTGTACTTCAAATCTAAAATGATGCTTCATGTCAAGTATTGGGTTGTTTCATAATGTGAAATATCATAGTGGTAGTTTATGCCTCTAGACAACTCAAAAGCCCATGCAAAGAAGTATCCAGCCTATGATTTGAAATTGGCGGTAATCATTTTTGCATTGAAGATTTAAAGACATTATCCTGATAGCATTTATTGTGAGGTTTTCATTAATCATAAAAGTTTAAAATACTAGAAGTTAAACTTGAGACAAAAACAATGGCTTTGACTAATGAAAGACTGATTTATAGATTCAAGGATAACACTCGACGTTTAATGTAACCAACCCATCTAGGACGACCATCTCTAATTTTGTCTGCCATTGGAGCTACACTAACCCTATCACGGATATATTCATTTCACATTTTCTCTCCAAGCGTAAAGCCACTCATCCACCTATACCAACATTCATCGCCATAAAGCATTGCAGGTATCATCACCATCTTATAAAATGTTCCTTCCAGTCTAAGCGGTAATTTTCTATCACACAATAGACCCGAAGCATTCCCCCACTTCAACCAACCAATTGAATTCTACTAATAACTTCCTCATCTATATCACCATCACTTTGAGCAATAGACCCAAGATATCTAAATTGTTTACATCTTTTAATAATTTGATCACCCATAGATATAACTTTGTCACTAGAGCTACTACTACTAAAATTACATTCCGTGTATTTAGTTTTAGTTCTACTCAAATGAAGGCCTTTAGACTCCAATGTAGACCTCCATAATTCAAGTATTTCCTGAGATTTCTTAAATACATAAAATATTTATCTTTCTATGAATTATAATATCAACTAATTCAATTAATTTACATATGAGAGTACTTATATTTCAAGATCATATACTAATATTAGTTTCATTGACTAACTTCTTTACCCGTATCGGTCTGTAATGTGAAAACTCTTGCTTATTTGACACTACACCCGGGCGTCAATGCAGCGACACTTGCACATTTTTCACTGAATTCAAATCATACAACTCGTTGCTTCCAGGGGATGACCTAACATTTACACAATGATCAAAATGATTCATGTCATGATTTTTAAGCAAACTCTACACTGGTTATCGACTACCTAACGCAAATCTCCACTTTTCACATTCGAGGCTTGGGTCCCAACAATGACAGTGTTAAGTATTTAGAGAGTAGACCAAAATACCATCACAGCAGAAAGAATTTTAAAGAAAGGAAGTTCAATGGAAAAATAATGTCAACTATACCACTATGGTTGGAGCCCAAAGAATCCAAAAGACTGACAAGGAAAAATGGACGCTTGCTTGAGCCCATCCTAGCATCCATATGCTTTTGTCTGCCAGGCAGAGAGAAACTTATATGAGGAAATAGAACAGGACATCAGATCAAATCTTCAAATGAAGGCATACCAAGTAAACATATATTTCTCATAATAACATCAGAAAAAATGTAACACTGTGAATTATACGGTCAAACACGATATACCAAACTTACAATGTAGAAATATTATGAAAGCAGGAACTCTGCTTAAATGACATAACATTATCCTAAGAAAAATATACTTTGATAAAGCCAAAATATCTATATCATATGAATGTAAGACAACATTTTCCCTAATGAGCAGTACAGGCCCAATTTTGATAAATTCAATGCAATTTCAAAATGAGTTGAAGGTCATCTTGGAAAGAAACTAGGGATTTCAAACGTGACTCAACCAAAATAATAACATCGAAAAAGACAAAGCATGTTTAGTAAAGAGAAACAGACCTATTTATCATAATTGATTTAGTTTAACAAACAACAAAAATTTAATGCAACGGTTATAAAACTAAAAAAAAAAAAAACTAGAACTAGAACCTAAGTGCAAGCATAAGTGCAAGCATGAAGCAGTCAAAATTTCGGGCCAAGGACCTGAAGGCTTAGTAGCTACTAGCTAGGACTTGGCCTTGAGACATTCAATTTCGATAATAGTTTTTGTTTCCCACAAGAAAAAAAAGGTACCCTATCTGCCAAGACTACCTTTAAAGCCATCCTAAAACCAAAATGTTGACTAACAATCCCACTCTCACGGAAACAGTAGATTCACTATAACAAGCAAGAATTAGGTTTGTAAGGTTCTATCTAAACATGAAGGCAATTTTCCGAGACCTTTTCCAGGCTAACACAAAATGAAACTTTTTTAGCGAGTTCCACCATGAACATGGAAGCGAATTGAGAGTCACAATTATATTACTATAAGGGTTTATTTCGTTCCCAAACATTTTATATACAGCCATGCTATTAAAAAAAGATCAAAATTTTAAAAAATAAAATGGAGAATTGAGACATTTTGCTTTAGCGAAACGAGATGTAAACCTCAAACAATAAACCTTAAAATGTAACACAAGTCAATGATATATTGTTTAATTTATTATAGAAAATATAACAACACAAATCTTAATATTAAGAGGCATTTACAAACATAGCACTCAATTCCTACAAATTTACATTTCTAATACTTAAATTATACTTTTTACATTTACATCGCCTAAATCTCTAATATCACATAAAAAATACCACCATTTGAACCTTTAAATTGCGAAATATATATTTCCACGCATAGAGAAGGAGGAATGCATGTAAAAATTGAAGTTTAGGTGTTAGATATGTAAATACATGTAAATACATAAAAATTAAGTGGTATGTATGTAAATTCCCCTAAATTTCTGGTAATAAATATTATAATAAAATAAGAGTTTAAAATGTGATTTTACGAAAGCATTCACTTAAAATTTAAATACTTCACGAGGATCAATCAATATCCATAGTGACCTCACTTTCAACATCTTCAAAAGAATCACTATATATATATATATATATCATTGTCTAGTTTTATCTTATTGGAACCTTCAAAATGTTCTTCAATAACTATAATTTTCTCATTAATCTCTATATCAATTAATATTATATTCAATATAATTTAAAATAAACGAAATTAATATAGTAATTAAATAATCAAATTTAAATTACCTTTTTAGAGGTAGTGTATCAGATATATTAATATAAATGTAATATAAATATAATATAATTTGTTTTGGATAATTTGATTGAAAAGTTGCCTCAAACACCTGAGCTATAAATTCTCAAGGCATATGTGTCAGATGAAAAAGTATAACCTCACTAATTAAAACGAGGTTTGAACCTCGAGATATTTGTGGTGCGCCTAGATTTGAGATGAGCCTCGAGTTGAAAAATTTTTAAACAAGGCAGATGTCTATTTTTTTGATTCATTGAAAACTTCAAATAACAAATTCATATATGCTATTTAATTTCTCTTTTGAAGATGTCTAAATTTTGTTTACATCTACCACACTATGGGTCTGTTTGGAGCAACTACAGCATAGCTACCCCAAGAAGCTGTTGTGAGAAAATTGGCTGGTTTTTTGTTTCAGCTGTTTGAAAAATATTGTGTCGTAGTTGTTTCTGGACAAATGATTGTTTTGTCTCTCTTTAGTAATTATGTTAGTAACAGAGTTGTCATAGTCATATATTTGATACTTCAGAAGCATAAATTCACTTCAGATAAAGTACATATCAGCGATAAAAAGTAAGGGTTTGGGGGAGTTGCCCGTAAGAAGCTGTAGATCACTGGAATCAAAATTTCGTCGTCCGCTTCGGAATGACGCTTTAATTTACATATAAATTTAAGTTTAAAATCAAATATGAAAATCAAACTAACCTCATATTTTTCATAGTTTAAATAAAAGAACGCTTTACCTCAAACTCTGTATATATCACGAGAGAT